ATTTTATATCTTTTATTTTTTATTAAATTTTTAATTTTACCCCGTTTTAATTTATTAAACTCTTAATAATAATATTACTTAAATTAAAATTAAAATTAGGGTTAACCACTTATAATTTAACATAACAATTAACGTATAATTTATAAATATTATTACCGTGCAATTATTTTTTCCGCCACTTTAATTAATAACAAAATAATCTTTAACTTTTAACGTTATACTTAATATAATTAATTAACTAAATTTATTTTTATATAAATTTTAATTTAAAAAAAAAATAACTTTAAATATTTATAATTTAATTAAAATATTAAAAATATTTATTTAAAAAAATTATATTTATAATTATATTTAATATAATTATTTAATTATTATATCCATTAACATTTTATACTTATATATATAAATTTATATATAAAGCTACTTATTAACTATATTAAGTTAAACATCTCCATTTAACCGTATATGCTATTAAATATCAATTCTGAGATTTATATTACGTATGCATGTAGTTAGTGCCATGAGGTGGGGGCACTGACCTTACCTGCATAGATTGTACCCTCGTACAGTACGTCAGGTCGGTACGTGAGGAATTTACTTCTTAGGTTATTTCAACGAGCCGATAGAGCAGCTTCTTGAAATGTATGTACCTACCAACGCTCGCCTGCATGGAGCTACCCGCAAACCAAGGCAGCACACTATTAATATGCCCAAATGTTCTGTCTATATATGATTTTGAGGTACGAATGGTGCTTCACTTGCCCAGTAGGTGGTTTCCAATGGTATGCTGACACTTCTTTCGAAGTAAGTATATCAGTAAGAATTATCTACCGCGGCTCATATACCAAGAAATTCTGTATTTGAAGAATATATGACCTTAGGAGGTAATTATATCAATCGATGTCCAGTATACACTATGCCAATATATTCAAACAAGGATGTAGGCGTCAGAGTTTGTAGCGGGGTTTAGAATATCGAAGCTGTACTATATTGTACAGTACTTCCTTTGCCCTAAGATAAACTGGAAGCTCCATTAGCGGCATTCATAGAGGGCTTTATTTTTTTAAGTTTGAAGTCGCAGGTGCGCCTTGGTCTGGCAAGCTCCACTTTGGCAACTGATGGAAGAAGGTTTGGCGGCCATGGCTCCGTTGGAGACTCGTCTCCTCCACCCGAAGGGCCCCAGCCCAGTCCAATTCCACCTTTTTTCCCACTCACACACATCCACACTACGCGCAAACCAAACCAGCACTATCGTTGTTCTGATTTTGTGTTTCTTGCTTGCTGTTTTAATACTCCTTCTCTCTCTCTCGCTCTCTCACTCTCCACCCTCACACTCATTTCCTTCTATTCCTCTTTTCTCTCCAACCCTAATTAACGTCACGAGCCCCAATCCTTCTTGCCTGCTACGTGAATTTGTTGGTTGCGTGTGCGTTTTGGCAAAAAGAAAAAGCGTTTTCTGTGTGTGCGCGCGGCCTGCTCGGTATCCCATCCTTCGTCTATCGCATCGTCGCAACGGTCCAGTGCGGGTTTTATTTCCCAATTATCACGGTTCCCCCAATTCTTGTTGCGGCGTAATTCGATATCTAGGAGTCTAAAAAAGGAACTATCCTGCTATTTTTTAACGTGAAGAGACGTCTCCCGGTACCCTCGGATCTTGCTGGAGTTCGCAAAGGCGCTACATTTCTGCTGCTTTACTCGGAACTAAAAGTGTCATTCGGTGTCTAAAAGTAAGTCCACATACTCCTTTTCTAATATTATTGCGCCTTGGTGGCTCTTCAGCATTTGAACTTCCCCGGACCCTCTGGACTACTGCAATTCTTGGACCTATAAGGCCTTGCAACCACAGGGCATCTTTCTCTGGAGGCTGTCTAGCCGCGAGAATTGGCTGGGCTGCACATTTTTGTTGTAGCAATTGGATTGACCGACCCTCGGATCCTACATCCCCGAACCGAAGCTGCGTCATCGAACCCCAGCTCTTTCTAGGCATATATAAGACACCAACGTCGCATTGTCGTGGCTATCTTAGATGGTGCGCACTCCTGGAATTTGCTGAACATCATGAAGCGCACAATGCCCCGCATCGCACAATATACCTAGTTGCGCGCAAATGCTCGATCGACTTGAGCTTTAGAAAATCCTGGACGATCAGCCCCACCTCTTGCTAGGCTAGCTTCTAGCATCGACTGAGCCTCTTTGTGATGCACGACGTCTTGATACAATGCTCTCGCCAAAGAATTCTGCCGCACATGGAGCGCGAACCGTCGATAGCTTAAATAAATCATTTATTCTTGCCCGTCGCCTCGCCGACCTTCTCATATCAGTATACATTACAAGATTCCCGCAGATGGGTGAAGGGGATAGACTGCATGGACGTGCTCGAGAATACGACTAGCTGAAACTTGCTCGACATCGAGAGTACGTCTCTTTGGTCTATACGGCTATGTTTTTGTCAAAGACATGTTCAGTTCGGTCAAGTTGATGCGTTAAGACCCTTCGCCCATAATATACGAATTCTTCGGCGCCGTGCTTTCTTCTACGATTCGGCTTCTGGTTCTGGTTCTTGGAGGATATCTCGATCCTAAGGAGATATATGCTTTAGAGCCTATGAAAGCAAATTTTCACGGTTACCAGATACAAACTCTCCGGACACATCCGCTTGTCTCGGGGATCAACCCCCCTTCAATCATTATAAACTTGACCTACGGCATGGAACCTGATCACCTTTCTAAATGGATGGAAGACATCCATTGCAACAAGAATGACAGCCATTCGAGCTAGATCTGAAACTGCCGAACCGTTGCGACGAAATTTAGACCTAGGATTGAGTCGTTTGTACTTGGCGCTAGGAAGTGTAAATCCTTAGCGAGATGGCACTACACTCAACTATACTTGCACAAGTATTCAAAAGTTGAATCTAAGTAAGTAAAATTTCATTCTCTAACCCCGCACAATTGTCGCCTCGGCATCATGCTCCATATTCTCAGCACCATCCCGCAACCATTCAATACCCCCATAACTATCAGTCGACTTAGAATAATTTTTATAAGTATTCGCTATTTTTAATGCGTATACCTGCTTATCTTTTGTCCTGGTTACGCTCATCACCTTTGTAGAGTAATACTGACCAAATACATTTACAGAACTTATACAATTAACGGGCCAACATCCCATCAATAGCGCAGTCTTTCCCTGAAACTAATGATTCATAATTGAATTTTGCTCGGCCAATTCTCACGCGGATCGTTGCGTCATGAATTTAGCACCACAGCACCCGCATTCTGTATAGCGAATGTATTGAAACAGTTCGCAAACATTGGTCTGGCTTCTAATACCAACACCAACAGCGAAAGAAGCATAGTATAATATCTGGTCCCAACGGATTGGCTCGGAAAATATATATACTCCAGGATTCCACCACACTACCCACTAGGAAAACCGGATCCTCTATACCTTGGCGACTTGGAGTTCAAATGCTGAAGACACCGATATGCCAGCTTCGAAACTAATTATCTTTTGCTCCTATGAAGCTAATCTAGACACAGGTTTTCCAGAATCCTTGGCCCTATCGTCAATAGAAATTGTCACACGACCTGAAAGCTTGATTCTAGTTGATCAGGCGTCTTCTAATATTCACGGTCGTCGAAACGGAATTTAGGAGCATAGCTTCAGATTCTAACGCTTGCATTACTACTTCCATCCGGACAAGAAGCCTGAGGCGTCGGCGTTTGGTTCCTAGTCTCTGACTTACGGGATCTAGATATTAATCGGGTGTTTTCTCCTGGTGAGTTATTGTCTCTACGATGTTGCCTCTCCGCCTCTGCATTTCAGCGTCATGGTCATTTGCCCCTTCCCGCATTCCCTCTATCCTACTCCTATTATCAGTGGATGATAAAGACACTTAATTCAAGCCTTAAAGAGCACCGAATTCCCCATAGGAATATCAAATAAGGCCAAGCCGGCCCATATATTGATGATATATTGGATTAAACCGCCTCGATACTATGGTCGGTTTGATACTATCTAAACAGACGATCATTACCTAAATCCTAGCACCTTCTACATTGGCATAGTTGCTGTATTCATCCTTTAATCCCCTTTCACGGCTGGCATATGTTCGCTGGATTGGCCTCCTTGCGGGTTTCAGTATCAGCGTAAATATCTGAATAGCTCAAAGAGCTACTGCCGGGTATAGCTTACAGAGGGCTCTATTGTCACGGTATTCGTGTACTTTGTTAATGATAGCTATACGCTCTTCTGCCAGCAAAAAGTCTTTGCTAGGTGCTTGCCCGCAGCGCATATTAGCATACCTATTCATTCCAGCCTATCTATCAGCCATAACTACCCTCTTGCCCCCACGACAGTATTTGTCATGTTAAGCATCTGGGGTGTTTGCAAGTCGTTTTATCGGATGGTTTCAAGCAATATTCCCCTTAAATTCCATTTTCTAGTTGGAGTTCACTGTGGTAGAGACGTCTGGAAAAGCTTCCGGCTTAAGCCATGCCCAATACATACTGAGAACTAAACACTGCTGCTAATCTCCTTCTCTAAACACCTAATTTTTATTATTTTATTTCCACTACTTTTGTTCTGATCCTCTGTTTTGCCAATTCCTTTCTGTTGCAACAACTCCCTCATATAATTCACCAGAGAGTCTAATCCATACAAGGACTTGTGTCTATAATATCTCGCGTGTTTGGCCTCCGATCAATCTACACTATCTAGTATGTTTCGTACAACATGCTACGCTCAAACGTTGCTCATGGCACAATCCTAATACTGTCTTCTATGCTCTTACTATCCCTCGAGCTCTCAAGTGACCCGGGGGAGAAATTTTTCTTATATTGCACATAGGCACTGTTTTCAAATAACACTGTATTTAGGTCTGTGTACTGACATCCTGTGCTAGGAGATCTACATTTGGCCATACACAGCTTTTATTGACTGCAATAAGCACGACAGGTGAGTCATATTATCGAGTTTTATCGTCTACCTTGTCGTCCATCTTGCACAATACACTGTGCAACTATTAGACTCCCTCATTTCCTATTCAGCCCCGCACCCTTTCTTTTCTATCCCTCAACCTTCAACTCCTAGGTACTCTCCTACCTCTTCCTCATCATCTGGATGCGCATTTCTATCGGTGTTTCCAAACCTCGCTAGTACCTTCCTCGACTCCTCTGAGATTATCAAATCAGTCAAGTGCTATCTCTTTGATAGTTGTCAATTCCTATATTATACACATTTAAGCTCCTTACCTCAGCAAATTCCTCTCACATGCCCTCAGGCTGCGACTTCAATTTATTAACCAATATTTCAAAATATAGCCGTCTTTACTTCCAGTATTCAAACTATCAACTCGCAATTTAATCGATAAGACTTGACAAAGTTCCGCCACAATCTTGATTTAGTATGTTCATTATCTCCCGATTTGCTTATACCTACCATTGCCATCCGATTTTCGGGATACACCTCCAATACCAATACGATCCTGCTTGTATATATCGTATCATTACAAAGTGTTAGGTATCTAACACCTGCTTACAGGTTACCATGGACGGATTTAACCCCTATAACGGCAAGCCTCCATCTAACGGCTCCGGCTCCCAGGGCGATGCTGGTTCCCAAGGTGCTAGCGGTGCCCCTGGTGTCTCCCAACAAGGCCTATCCTTGGCTCAGACTAACGGCCAATCTGGCGGTGACATGACGCAGCCCTTCCCTGCTGATTCTGCTCGTCAGACCCTTTGGTATAAAACAGACCTTATCCCCACTCAATAATAACGAGTAATACTGATTGAATTATACAGGATGGGAGAACTAGCGGGGTGGATGGACGAGGGCTTCATTCGCACGTTATTCCAGTCGACACTCAACGAAATCGTGCAGGTTAAGATCATCCGAGATCGTCACTCTGGGTATGATGAACCTGTCTATTGCCATATCCCTCGTTGGAGCCCGAGTGGGCTCCGTGATCCTACGGGGCCTCCTAAGCGGCAGGAGCCTGTCGCCTCCGATCCTACCTATTCAATTCCTTCCCAACAATCTCAAACCAAAAGTTTCTCACATATAAATAGGAGTGCCGGTTATTGCTTCGTCGAATTCGCCACCCCGGAGGCTGCCCAGAAGGCTCTACAGCTAAACGGTACGCCCATTCCCAACACCGACCGTGTTTTCCGTTTGAATTGGGCTTCTGGTGGAGGTCTTATTGACCGTCGGGACGACCGAACTCCCGAGTTCTCGATATTTGTTGGAGATTTAGGTCACGAAGTCAATGAGTTTGTCTTGGTCGCTCTGTTCCAGGCACGATTCCCTAGCTGCAAGTCAGCTAAAATTATGACCGATCAGCAAACTGGTCAGTCACGAGGCTATGGTTTCGTCAGATTTTCCGATGAAAAAGATCAACAACGTGCGCTGGTGGAGATGCAAGGCGTTTATTGCGGCAATAGGCCTATGAGGGTCTCGCCTGCGACTCCTAAGAACCGGCAAGTAACATATTTCAATATCTGGTATTTATTTTCTAACATGATGATTAGCAATCACCAGGGAGGGCAGTACAACCCCTACGGCCACCAGATGGTCCAACCCCCCCAAGTTCCGCACCATGCTGGCAACATGGGTGGCCAGTGGGTACAGCAGCAGCAACCGCCTAACTATGGCTACCAGCAGCCCGGAACGTTTAACCCGTTGACGATGAACCAATTTACAGACCCGAACAATACAACTGTTTTCGTCGGAGGTCTTTCTGGCTATGTGACCGAAGACGAACTAAGATCGTTTTTCCAGGGTTTCGGCGAAATTACCTACGTTAAGATACCACCTGGCAAGGGCTGCGGTTTTGTTCAGTTTGTTCACCGTCACGCCGCGGAGATGGCAATCAATCAGATGCAGGGCTACCCAATTGGTAACTCACGGGTTCGTCTGTCTTGGGGTCGTTCTCAGAACAATTCTGGTGTAGGTACCCCGTATCGTCCTGCCCCTCCCCCGCCTCATTACTTCCCCCCTGGACCTCCTGGCCCACCTGGTCCCGGTCCGTTTGCCGGTCCTAGCTTTGGTGGCAGCGGTCATCAGGGCCCTCCCCCTGGCGGCTTAGGTCCTCAGGTACGTCTTGCAACTATCCCCGCGTCTGTCGTTAGAGAAGCTAACCCTATTCTAGTAAACCCGCTCGCAACAATTCAGCACCCGGTATGAATTGTCACACTTGGTATGATCTAGCATAACCGGCGTCCTGCGTTTCTGGCGTTTGGGCATGCTTCTCAGTCTCTCCTCTCGCTCTCTGGTTTCGGCTCCTCGGTCTTATCCATCTTTGTTTCCCTACCATGTACGACACCATCTACACGCGGTTGTTCGATCATCCTTCTCCTCGATATGATATGCAGGCGTTGGTGAGTTCGATACGACAAATGGACGGTGCGCACGGGGGTCGGGGGTCTTAGGCAGTTGGTTCCCTTGCCTTGCATTGACTTTATGGCGTTTGTCAAAAAGTGGATGTTTCAACAGGGAGAACCGTGTACCACTTGCATCTTTTGCTACGACGTTGATTTCATTTCACGATTTTCTTATTTTCACCTTATCCAACCTACGAAGTTGATTGCGTTTCACAATTTTCTTATTTTCACCTTATCCAACCTGAGCGACACGAGTCTTCCTTCATGACAGTTTCGTGGCATATAGTTTCAACATGTCTCAGACATTGGCGATTGCAACTGCTTTTTTCTGCGGCTACTTTTGCGTCCCGATGCCTTGACATTTTGAACACATACGCCTCGTTCGCAGATAGCGCAATCAATTTCGTTCGCCTTGGTATGTGTTCGTCGAAGAATACCACTGCTTGCACCGGGTCCTCTCAGCCCCTGTCTCGAGGCTGTAAAAATCAGCCATGGGCAGGATGAGTGGACTCGGATCTAGTCATTCACGGAGTGCTCTCTATTATGAAACGGCGGTATCAAGATAATTCGTCGTTCTGTACGCTTATGCAACTAAGGTCCTTCTTCGCAGGCTTGACGGAATACGAAGGACTATATAATCCCCGCCTCGATTCCCGGCTATCTGCCTCGGATGATGATAGTTATGACTTTAGTTGGTCGGTACATTTTCCGAATACAAATAAGCTCATGGCATAATGAAAGCTATGGAAATTTAACTAAATCGCTCCGCTATTATCCCGGCCTACATCATTGCAACAATCCATCGTCAGGTGTATTCGATTTTGATAGTAGCGGAACGGCGTTCTGCTTGGACTTGCCTTGGTGACGTTCGTTTAGCCTTTAGAAGCATTAAGTTGGCTTCATAAGCGCTCAGGTTTTCTTTAGTCAATTTATCAAATTTCAAAGTATATATTTGAGGGACCGTGATATGATTGATATTCTCGGTTTTGGCCATTATCTAGTTGTCCATCGTAGCACAAAGTCTTGATAACCCGTGGTGACATCCCTTATGTTAGTACCTGTGTCTACGTGAAATATACTTGTCAAGTGACGAGTATTTTTCGCTCTACTAGATGGCAATGTGCTAACTTGGCAGTCACTTATTAACATGGTTAAGAAAAAAATTAGCAACGATGTTACATGTAAACCAAGGCAGATAGATAAATATTAAAACGCCATTCAAGATTTCTTCCAGTCGCTGCCGCAACTCTAATCCACGTGGTGGTGCGTATCGGGGCGCGTTACGCAATCCTACTATGTAGGTCGGTGTCGGGAAGTCTTACGGGGGAAACACGAGCGATAGCACTGACGTAATCCCGAGCTGTTGGTAAGTCGTCGACGAAGGACGAAGGAAAATTATCGTTTATTGGATGTAGGGTGTAACGATGTCGGGAGCGCTGGTTGGCTAAGCTGGGTACGGGCGGTGCGTGGGACGCTCGGTCCCGAATCTTGTTTGTGGTCGGGGCGCGGCGGTAAGTCCCCAGGCCAAGTTCCGAGACAAGGGGTGGGAATCGATCAGTGGTGTAACGGCCTTTTTTTAATTTTTTTTGTTTTCTTCTGGGGAGCCGCGCGTGCGGGATCGCGGGGGGAGGGGGGGAGGTATATATGTGGAAGAGGGTGGCCGTTAGTTAGTAATGGGGGGGATTGGAACTTACATACAAAGGCGACTAGCTAACTGTCTATTGAGTTATACCTAGTTATACTAGATCTTGCACGCTTGATGTAGTATCATTTTTAACTGGGCGTATATGAGTAGATAGAAAGAAAGAGGACTGAATTGGATTGAATTAAATTTATTGGTTTAACTCGAGGGCCGCGTGTCAGTCAATATGAAGTCTGTCGTTGCTTTTTTCGGCTTATACCTCGCTTTATTAGGTAAGTTCTGACCACCTACCTACTACTTTTCTTTTCTTCACCATCTCTAGATACCTACCTACCTAGATATGGTACGAGTAGGTATGTCAGTCTTGGACAGGAGCTAACTAACTAACTACTCTCTATCTGCATAGCCGGGAGTGTACAAGCCCAAGGCTATGGTTGGCCTGGCTGGGCCGGAGGCAGCGGCTTTGGGAACGGGCCGGGCAGTTCAGGTGCGATAGGAGGCGGGCTGGGCGTGTTCGCGGGCTTCGACGTCGATAAAGCGACTCGGTATCGCACCGCTCACGGCATCATCGCCGCGTTATGTTTCGTCGTGATATTTCCCATCGGCGCCATCCTTATGCGAGTACTACCTAGTCGACACACTTGGATCATCCACGCCGCGACCCAGATCGTCGGCTTCGTTCTATACATTGCCGCTGCCGCGCTCGGGATACATCTTATAGAGATGGTGAGGATTCCTCCTGATGGTTCCAGTTTGGTAAGTACACTTCCTAGTTAACCCCCTCCCCCCCCTTTTATAATCATAGAACGAAGCCCAAGTCCGCTAATAATAACCAAAAAAATAGTTGCAAATACCATCGAAAAACGCACACCCCATCATCGGCATCGTCCTGCTCGTGGCAATGTTCATCCAGCCCCCGCTCGGATTCGCCCACCATTCCAAGTTCAAGCGTCTGCGCCGTCGAACCTTCTACTCGCACGCGCACCTGTGGCTCGGCCGCATCGCCATCACCCTGGGTATTATCAACGGCGGGCTCGGACTACAACTAGCAGAGGCATCCGAGGGACTAATCATCGCCTATTCCATCGTGTCAGCATTCGCCTGGCTGATGTGGGTTACGGCGGCCGTGGTAGGCGAAATGCGCCGTCGAGAGAATCTTCGGGCTGCTCACCTAGGCGATGCTCCTCCTCCTGCCAATAATAACATCATGCCCCCTAATCACGTTGTCCTCCCCTCTCCATTTACGAGAAACGACCATCATCGTCGCCATAACAGCACCTCCAACGACCCTAGTCCTCCGTACACGCCCGGCCCTATATACGGTGGTCCACCGGTATATAGGGACGGACAGGCGGTAGAAATGACGCCTATGAAAAATACCGTCGAGAGACGGGGATCCGTATCGTCCTTCTCGTCCGAGTTGACGCCGGTAGATGGAAGACGGAGGCCATAAGAACAGTGATTCGTAATTGTTAGTTGAGATAATTACTATGATATCTAGATGAAGAAAGAGCGAGGTAAATACCTATCTGAGTAGAACCGGAGGACAAATGTTTTTGATATTTCACGGGGATATCTGCGCGTCGTTAGTTTTGCCATTCGTCTTTTATGGAAGTCCCAAGAAGGAGACTCAAGTCGGATTTATTCTCGCAATGTTACTATTTAGATTTCAGCTACACGGCATACGTAGCTGCTATTAATTATATCAGATGAGATTTACCTTCCACCAGGCCTCATTACAGCCAGACGGAATTATTAGCAGGTTTGGGGGTTGGGACTACGAGGGTTATGAGGCTGTGTGAACCATGTTTACATAGCAGCTTGAGACAGTTCCTATATAGCTACCTAGTTAGGTACCTAGTCCACTTGACCTACCCTTATAAACTTTTGCCAACCAACATATGATAGCCACCTTGCCAACACCACCTATCCTTGAGCTAACTCCTTTTATACACAAACACACCAAGCCAGACCAAACTTACTACCGAACCGGGGGAGTTGCCGATACCCTTTCACAGAACTGAATAGAAGGAAACATGGTCCCCTAATAGTCTATCGATTCAGAGGCCGCTAGTGACTTGTTTCCCGGAAGAGAAACGCGTGGCTAGAAATTCCACTCGTCCTCAACGCTTTGCGCTCGAATTTGTTGCTGCATTAATTCATCAGCTTCAGCCAGCGTTGGGTTATCCTCTGCATCTTGCATAGCGTGGTTGGAATTGGCCTCGCCGGGTACGTCGATAGAGGCTTGGGTCTCAGCTGGGGCTTCTATTTTGACAGATGCCACTCCCCCACCATACTCGTTCTCATCCTCCTTTATTGGGTCTGCTTCGGACGTTTGGGTTGTGTCCCCTGTTTTCATACGTTCATCGACGGTTTTCTCACCTAGAACGGAGGAAAACATCAAGTCGCAATGCTGCAGGAAGTTGTTAACATTTGCTCGCATGGCAAGTTCTTCGGGTGACAGCTTGGCGCGACGGTCGACTTCGGTGCCAACTGTGGAAGCGTTAGTATCAAAAATAGGTATGCAGGCAATAATAGTCAAGTACTTACCAAGAACTTTCATGTAATCGCGAAAGATAGAACTGAACATGTCTTCCATTTGGTCACTTAGGCTCTTTTGGACAGTACGACACATCGCTTCCAGTTCTGCTTTCACTGTATCAGTAGCCTCATTGAACATGGTGTAGCGCGAAGTTTCAACATGGTTCGCCATTGCTGCTTTCATACGATTATAAGAACCGGGGCCGCGCTCCTCTGTGCAAACCCGATAGGCATACTCCATGGCGTTGCAGATAGCGGGGGTGAATTTTCGACTGGCCTCTCTCTGAAGGTCAGTAATTACGACTCGCAAAGTAATTGGTAGTTGTTCTATTGTACGCATGTGGGCTAATATCTGACTGGACAGGGTAACTATTCCTGATATGTTGGTATGGCGTTGCCGAGCGCGGGTTTGGGCAGCTTCATGAAACGCTTTTAGTTGTTTCTTTGCCTTCGCCGCGAACTCGTCAAGAATGGCTGGTAACCGACGCTGGAATGCGCGTTCCCACCCCGTTGCTAGACTGCGAGAAATTGGGTCGAATAACTCTTGGTTGAAATCACGCGGACCCGAGGCCCCGGAATAAACACCGTTCCGTCGAACGGTTGCTTTATATGTCGCCCACACCATACCGCCTAATTGTTTAGGCGCTGACCATCCGCTTGCGGTATTGGGGGCAGCAGAGATAGCCCCTGGAATAGATGCCGCGAAGACGGAATAGACATGCTCTTGAAGCGACTCTTTAAGCAGTTTTACTGCGTCCCTAATAGATGTATCGAATCCCTACGAAATGTCAGTCATGATTAGGTAGGTACAGAAACTAACAATAGCTGGAATCGTTATGTTCCGAAGAGTTGGAATATGCAAAACCATCTGCACTAGCAGCAACATAGTACGGGGAAATCATAGGACAGAAATAACTAGACAACAACGTACCGTCTCCAAATCATTCAAGAGTTTGCGTAAATGCATCTCTTCGCGCCGCTTCTCTACATCCGTCAGTGTAGAATGAGTTCCATCGTTACTAGCCCATAGTTTCATAGAATTGATCAACTGCGTTAGTTCATTAAGGAATCTACGGCAGTTACTTGCTCGTCCTTCTTCTGTTAACTTCTTCGCGTGCAGCTGAAGCTGCGGGATTTCTGTGTCTTCTAGAGACATAAACCCATGATCTTGGAAGTCGTCCTTCTGGAGCTTCCCAGTTAGACTCTGGTAAGCACGACTACTAACACAAAACACGGGTAGAGTACGAGCAACCTCATCATAGTCGCGAATATCTTGATCGGGGTCGAATGTTGTGTCATCTTCTTCTGCGGCGTGTTCTTGGTCAAGTCTAATTATTGTTAGCGGATAAATGGAAGACTAATCAATGTCGCTATAATTGGTACGGCAATAGGTTAGTCCTAACAAATAGGAGACTTACTCTTTGATTCCCATAGCGAAATCCTGCTTAATTGCACCGCGAGAATAATTATTACGTCCTTGGATACACCGTGCCTTGATCTCAGCAAGAATTCCTTGTCGCTCAGCTCTTGCCTCGCGTATCTGCTTGCGAGCATCTGCAATTTGTGTATCAAGGCCTCGCCTTTTATCACGTATTTCTCTCTTCTGCGCCCTAAGTGATGCAAGTTTCTCTTCAATGTCATCGCTGGTAAGAGGCTGGCCGGCGCCGATCGACTGCGAGTTTTCCTTATCACTCGAGTCATCCTCGTATGCATCCTGGCCATCATCGTCATCGACATTATCGATATCAGATCCGAACGGGCTGCGGCTCTTGCGACTCTGGAAGGACTTGGAACGCCTCTTTCTCTTCCTAGACTTTTCGAACGGCGCGTAGACAACCTCTCCGCTCGAAAGTTGGCTTTGTAGGTCCTCCCATATGTCCAAGTTGGCTTCAATCTCATCGACCTGCTCGCCAAGTGCAGCCTTCTTGTCCGTCAATTCCTCCAAGAAAGATTGGGAGGTTTTTATTGAATCTTTCAATTCTGCAGCTTGACTCCAGGACTCGGATAATTCTTCCTCAAGGCCAAGGCTGTCTATAGCTTCCGTGATGGATATATCATCGGTCTTGGAACAAATAAAGGTAACGGCCGAATACGTGCCATCGTATTTCAATTGCCTTTTGAAAGAGTCGCCGAGAAGTGACTTAGCTGTCTTATCGTCAACGGCTCGGGTAATAGGTGCCACAATCCACAAACCGGTACACGACTTCATATATTTTTCCGCCACTGCTGCTCGAGCAGCATTGGAATCTTGTACACCCGGCTAATTCAGTCAGTTTAAGACTGCTTCCTTTCCATAATGAGAGTGAAGAAAGCTCCTATTTTCTATTTTAGGAGGCGGGTTGAGAAACTTACCAAGTCGACTAGTACGGCTCCCGTAGACAGTGCCTTTGCTTTGGTGTAAATTCGGACAACTTTGATCAAGGGCCAATATTCCATAGGGACGTTTCGCTTTTTATTCTCATGCCCGGTAATCTTCTCCTTGCTGTCGACATAATGCTGTAGCCGACCATATAGACTCTTCGCGGAATTCTCTTTAAGGGTCTTGGTAGTACCGAGCACCCCCCGAACAGCCGGTTCTTTGGCGAAATCCTGCGGTGTTCCTTCAGCGATCATTTCCTTGGTCTTATGCGGATAAACGGCTTTTAGCTTCGCATAGGCAACACCAGCCTCGCTATCAGCGTTGGAGGAGTCACGCGAAACTGCACCATTGCCGTCTAACAAATCGTTAAATAGAATCTCGAGTTCCTTAATCCACTCTTCAGCAGTGATGAATTCAATCTCAGCCCGGTATAATTCGGAGGGATCATCCGAGTGATTATACGAAATCTCAGTTGGTGACGCAGTACATGCGCGTATACAGTTCGTGGGAAGTAATCTAGACACTTTTAGTATACGTCCAAGTACATTGCACATTTAGGTACCTAAAGTATGTGAAAAGGGGGGATAGGAAAGGAGAGGTGAAGGAGGATGGGCTGAGAAAGCAATAGCAACCGAGATCTTACCGTTCTTCGTCTAGAAGTGCGTTGATGACGGAACTCTTGCCAGCGCCGGTATTGCCAACAACACCTACGACAGTGCGCGTTGGCTTTGCACTCTCTTTTAACGTATTGATTGTATCGAGCCACGTATCAACGTCGAGATTTTTAAAAGTACTTAGATGAACTTTCAGTTGATCTAGGAGGTCGACACCAATTGTCACGCCAGACTCTAATGTTTCGGGAACAGTCACGGTAATCAGCTGATCGAGATAATTCGTGCTACTCGATTCCACATGAGGTGAGTTTAAGTTCTTATCTTGCTCTATCTCCGGGTCGGCTTTGATAGGGGCATTCGGGGAGGTTGACATTCCTGGTTCAGTCTGGCGAACGGGACTGAAAGGATCGGATGACAAAGACGCACTGGAAGCAGATAGGTGCGTAGTCGGGCTACGGTGTGAAGGTTGTGCTGATGCAACCCCAGAAATTGGAGGTGCCATCATTGGATCTTCTAAAGGTTCTGGTTTAATAAAACGAACCCCGGAACCCGAAGGCTCGGGCTTGATAGGAGGATCCTCATCCATTGTTTGGCTTCGATATTATAGTGCCAATTGTAGATGTAAGTGATATATCGCACGTTTGATACTGCACATGAACGAACAATGTATTGTAAATAGTAAATTAAGAAATGTAGTCTCGCGTAGAAATATTAGAGGAATTCTATAGAATTCAATAGAATAAGACTACGATAGGTAAAGAGGAAGAAATAAAATTGTCACGTTGTGGAGAGGGTTGCTAGGTGTAGCAGGTTGACGAGGCAAACATATGTTTAAGGAAGTCGCGTCATCTTAACTTTTTTTTCACGCGTCCAGAATCAAAACGCGCTATCACCTGTCACTTCTCAAATTAAAACCGAGGGAAGGTACATAGCAAGTAC